TGATGCTAGCTTTTTCTAAAAATAGAAAAATGCAGCATTTTTCTGCTCGGAGGGAGCGATTCAGGTCAAAAACTGATTCGGTTTTAATGTATTGCAGTGTTACTTTTGGAAACACAAGCCAATTTATTTTAAAAAATAAGGAAATGTTAAATAAAATACACGTTTAAGGCTTTAAATATTGCACACGTATTATTTAAAAATACAAATCTAAGGCTTGAAATACAAATTTTTTACTCAATTAAAAAAATTAAATAAAATGCTCTAAAAATGAAATACACTTAACAAGTGTTTAAATTACCCTCCTTCCATTCAAATTGTTGGCTTGGTACCTCTTCAGAAATGCTCGTTTTAATTTCCTCAGACATAATTGTGATACAGCTGAAGAGATTTGCTGTCGCAGGTGGTCTTCGCTTTGTACAGTTTTGCTGTATACGTCATATTTTAGGCAACCCCAGTAAAAAAATCTAGGGTGTTTAGATCGGGCAACCGAGGGGGAGACACTCAATTGTGCGTTCGATCCATCGGCGGGGATATTGCTGATTCAAATGTGCGCGTACTTGACGACCGTAGTGAGCAAGGCAGCCATCGTGTTGGTACCACAATGTACGCCGCTGTTTCGACGAGTCATCTTCTAATAAAATTGGTAATTGTGTTAGGTGTTTTCGCTTGCAGTTGACTGAAAAGACACCCTGAAATTTCGTGAACTGACGTGTTTATTTTTATTTTGTTAACAAATGTGACATTTCGCATGCAACGTCTTTTTTGTTCTTTGTTCCATCTTGCGATGATGAATCTTGTATGGCCGCGACGTTGCCGCTGTTAAACATATTTCATACAGTACATGATAAATATATCATAAAAAGAGTCTGTTTGGCTTTGATGCTCACGACACGCACCACACTGTGTCTTCCAGGATGGACTACGACGATTCTTCCTAGTGTCCAGCACATAGGAGGTACGTTGTATCAATTGATCAGGACCGTAGGTCCAACACGTAAATATATTAGAATCTCCTGGGCAATGCCATTTACTACGTTGCTGAAAGCGGAGCACATATTCTTTCTGCCAATGATTCGAAAAATGTTGCCTCATCAATTGGATGCGTTGATAGCGTTTGATATGGTTAACCTTGCATTGTGTCAGGTCGCGTTCCGGGATAGCTGTGTGCGTCTGACCGATCAAGAAGTGTCCAGGAGTAATCGCCTCAAGGTCATTGGGATCGAAAGAGATAGAGACGAGGGGTATCGAATTTAAAATTGCCTCAACCTTAGCAGTCAAAGTGTAGAACTTCTCGTACGTTCAATGCGTCCCTGTCAAAATTTGTTGTTTACATGATTTAACGGCAGCTTTGTACAAACCGCCAAAATGGGGTGATCGAGCGGGCATAAAGCTCCAAGTCATTTTTGAGTGGACTGTATAATTTTGGGATTCTATTAGTTTTCGCAAGGTTAGAAGCTCATTATTGCAGCCAACAAATGTTGTAGTTATCGCTGTAAATGTGAGAACATATACCTCTGCGAGATACAAAACGCTTCAAAAGGCTTAAAAAACCGTCACTTGTTACATCCGTTATGACTTCGATATGACAAGCTTTGCTGACAAGACAAACAAAAATACAAATATAACCCTTGATGATTTTTTCGTGCGAGTTTTGCCAGCGTTTATCTCAAAGGGACCAGCGTAGTCAACGGCAACTGGTCCGAATGGTCTCGAGGGAGTGACGCGTGATTTGGGCAGTTGTCCCATTAACAAGACAGTCGCATTCGGATTTGCCTTGAAGCACGTTACATATTTTCTTATATGGGATGTTGCTATCTGGTTGCCATTAAGAGGCCAATAAAAGGACCAAAAAGGACCATAACTGCGAATATTTTTACAAGCCGTTGTGTTTTGCCTCTAAATTACGAGTCGCTAATAATTTTTAAACTCATTCAACAATTAAACACGTCATTGATAGGAAACGCCTTCATTTTAACTTTAATTCGAATATTGTATTCAAACGTAAATCAGACTTCACGGCAGAAAAAATGTATCTTTCTGATTTTATATGAACGGTAGCATTATTTTACCTATCTAAAGCCCTGATTAAGCAGGTAACTTATTGCAGTACTTTGCAGTAGCAGTCTAGTCAATTTTTATTTCATTGCTGAATACCAAAGTTGAGTAAAATAGTTTTCTAAAATAAAAATTACTAAGAAGAAATTGGTTTGTCAAGTTTACCTACTTGGATTTATCGAAAATAATATTTCATGTCGGATTCATGCACAACTTAACGTCACACCCATTTTTTGACATGATTCGGGTGGTTTCGGAACTCGTCTTACCCTTGGCCCTTTCCATACTGTTTTCTATGCTCGTATTGACGTAATTATAATAATTCTGTGGCATCTCGTGTTACACGACGATTTACGGACCAAGCCAGGCGGTGAATCATCTGTGTTGTTTTTGTTTGAGTTGTTTGCGAATTTGCGGTAGAGATTTGTTTTGGTGTTCGTTTTCGGGTGTGTTTTTCTGCGTTGGACTTGTTTTTTGTGCGATTAATTGAGGATGGCCATACCTAGAGCAAAAAAACGAAACGCCGCGCTGGTATTAACCCCTGATCTTGGTGGAGAAGTACCTGCAGAAGGCACCTGAATGGAGTCGGACATCGCCAGTGGAGCGCCTAATGATAACGTTGCAGTAAGTATCCAAATCAGAACATTTTGCATAAATTACTGAATATATTGAGGTTATGGTCATTTTCTTAATTCAAGGTCACTGCTTAAAATAAAGTTTAGTATATTGAACTTTATCTTAAGAACCAACCAATCGGATCAGTAGCGTTGGTCAGCTGATCGCTACAGCTGGAATTAGAAGATGGGTACGAGCCATCGATAACTGTACAAACGTCGATAGTCAATATTTATATCGCTATGTTAGATCGATTTTATATCGCTGTATGGGCAGATGGTTCGTTGATAGTTGTACTTGGAAGAAAAAAATGTTAAAAATTATAATAAATAAAGACAGTGGTCATGTTTACTTCATCCCGTAACAAATTGCGTATAGTGGTAGTTTCAGCAAAACATATCAGTATTGCTACAGCATAAAGTAGATCAAAAAAATAGCATGAAACAAATAAATATGGGTCCTAAATTGCCCTCTTACCAAGATAGAGGATGTTGAAATTATATTTTAGAAAACGAAAAGAAATGAATATGATCTTAAAATTTTGTGCTTGTAGTACTGATATCAGAGCTGATAGATACAAACACTTTCAAGTCTGAGACTGTACCAGTGGTGATGTAGGGAAATTATAGCCCCTACAGAAGAAAAAAGAGAATTTTAATCTATACCATGCCCCCCCCCATGGCATGTTTTTCCAAAACCTCACAGAACATTGTGAAGGTACTTTGCCAATGCTGCAATCTCTTTTGATGTTTATTAGTGTAAACAGATGAGTAGCACGTAACTTCTTTTTGTGACACTGTACTGTTGGTAATAATAAATCTGGTAAAGCCCAGGACCAAATTAAGGACTGGTGTTTGGTATCACCAGTGAAAATTTGTTTACACGTACATGCTTTCTCTGACTGAGAATTTTGGCAATCAAAAGTATACTGCTAGATTGGGAATTTATACGTAATGTACAGAGCAGTATCATCTGAAGGGGCGTGGTGAGATGACTATGTTTCTGTTTAGTGTTTGCTGAAGAAATATGACAGTGATATGCCAATAATTTTTTTTTGTTTCACAGTCTCAACATCCTTCGAGGAGACAGTTGGAATGAATATCGTCATTTATTTTATGGATACCAAATTAATTGTCAATGACATCAGGGGTTTGTTTCCTAGTTTAAAGAAACAATTAGTGTTTTACGTGTTTTTTTTTTGTTGAGGACAATTTTGTTTGCCTTCAGCTAATAACAGTGCGTGCAAAATTGTTTTTGATTCACATATCAGGGAGATTATATTTGTATTCCAGCCAGTCCTCTAACTACAGATGTATTTTTTGTTATTATAGCATTTATGCTTCCGCAATAAATATACATGATCAATTAACAGCACTGATCAGGTTCATAATATAGAGAAAAATCCAGATGGGTAGAATACTTCTATGTATGTACAATGTATTGTAATGAAGAATGTGTTCTATTATTGCCGGGACTGTTCAATAAATATTTTTTTAATTATACATTTTTTTATTACCCTGAAATTCATTACTAACCAAACTGATGAAAGAAATACTTCCTTTATTGAGGATGTGTTATGCATCTATGATCAACGAACTGCCTCAATATCGGGAAGGTCATCAGTTAGATTTCGTAATGTAAACAAATGAAATCGCCGGCAGATTCCTGACATTCCTGATATGCGTTGTCGGCATACTTTCAATATTTATAGTTCCACCAGATTTCCAGCCAAGAAGGGTGGCGCTGCCGTCAAGGTTATAGTCCAAGAAATATCTTCACATCTGCTCAGGAAAATATGCGGATTCGGATTTTTTGCATGTTATTCGAAAAAGCCTCCTTGTAACAAATCTACATGTTGTCAGGCCCCAAATTGCGTCTCTAATTGTTTGTACAACTTCTTCAAATAAATTCCAAAAATTAATGTTTTCGCTTCATCAAAAGTAGTATTCGTTTTTTTTTGATACTCCGAAACAAAACAATGTTTGACAATGTTTGTCTATAGTTGATTTTGCATGCGATGGGAAAGTACAAAAAATTGCTTTTGCGATACCGAAAAACGATCTGAAAAAACAAAAATGTTAATGACGCCATGCTTCATAAATAACTATTAACACAATTGCGATACCTTAAAGGACATACTGTTATTATAAACCTTTGTATTTAATTGATAAGCAAGCGCACGCTCAATGTATATTCAGCGTGCACGAGAGATATTCCATCTCTCTCTCGCGTCCACCTAGACATACACTGAGCGCGCATTAAATTCACAATTATACTTCGATTGGTCACATCCAATTAGAACCACCATGTAGTATACCCGCTGTGAGTGCGCCAGTGTTTAGATAAACGTAATCGCTGCCACCTAGCCTGTCCCGTCCCGTAGCACTGGTCATTATACTTCGGCGCTGAGTGAAGTCAGTCAAGTGTTTATTGTTTTTGTCCGGTTTTTTCGTCGGGCGTAATATGCACCAATGAGTCGTAAACGTAAATTGCAGGAGGAAGAATTTGAGAAGTTGAAGAAAAAGATGAGGAAGCTGGAACGTTCCATGAAGTTGGACTCTTCCAGTAAGTACATTCCACTATGATAGGGATTTGTTCACTCCATGAACGACACAATAGGTCATCACTATAATCCCGCATAGTCTTCGACTCATGTAAGCTGAGTGACTCTTAGTGGGAAGGAAATTACAACTTGAGGAAAGGCATTGGAATACTCGGTGCTATAATAACAGACACAATGGGCAAAGAAACGCAAGATGAGGTAAAATATGCTGGTCGTATAGGTGACTTCATATCAATATGGCGAAGACTCACAAAAAACGAAACAGTTTTACAGTGGGTTCGCGGAGTCAAAATACCTTTCTGCAAACCTCACCACCAGTATCGCAAGCCGAACGCTAAAATCAAATATTTAGAGAAACAACACCAATACACTAAGTGCATATTCCGATTTCAAAAAATTGGTGCTATAAATCAGGTCAAGCCTTCAAAAAATCAATTTCTAACTTCCTATTTTTTGAGGAAAAAATCCAGTGCGGGCTATAGATTCGTTCTTAATTTAAAACAGTTAAAGAAATTCGTTAGTGCCCCACACTTTAAAGTTGAAGATTCCAGAACTGTGAGAAATTTAGTTTCTAAAAATAATTATTTAGCCTCCGTCGACCTCAAAGATGCTTATTATTTAATACCAATTCATAAAAGTCATAAACGGTACAAGAGATTTGAATATCAACGACATACTTTTGAGTTTCAATGCTTACCGTTTGGACTTTCAGTGGCTACTTTTGTTTTCACTAAAATTCTCAAGCCAGTACTCACGAAATTACGAAGTAATGGACTAATCTCAGTTGCATACCTAGATGATATCCTATTAAAAGCAAGACTGAACAGCAGTGTCGCACTAATATCGAAAAAACCTGCGAATTACTGACAAGTCTGGGCTTTATCATAAATTATCAAAAAAGTTGCCTCCGGCCATCACAAAAAGCAGACTTCCTTGGGTTCGCCTTCGATACAAACACAATGGTAATGGGTATTCCAGAAAGGAAGAAAATTAAAGTAAAGCAACTTATTACACACATTAATTCAAAACACAAGATTAGAATTAGGGAGTTTTCAAGAATAATAGGTTATCTGGTATCGGTTTGCCCAGCAATGACATACGGTTGGCTATTCATAAAAAACATGGAAAGAGCCAAATACCTAGCTTTAAGGCATAACAATCAAAACTATAACATGGCCATGAAAATACCACACCATTTAAAGGAAGATTTTTTGTTGTGGCTAAATAACATCGATAGGGCCGGGAAATCTTTCAAATCACTAGAATTTGATATGCATATTTTTACGGATACCTCAAAGGGGGGGGGGGCTGTCTATGATAACCGAGCAACTAATAGTTTCTGGCAAGCTACAGAATGTAAAGAACACATAAACATCCTGGAGCTTAAGGCGGCCTTTTTGGCTTACAGTCCTTTGCGAAGGAGCATCGCAACTGTTATATTTTGCTCAGGGTCGATAAATAAATCGGATGGGTGGTGCAAAATATAAAAATCTAAGTGACTTGTCTACTAAGATATGGAAGTGATGTGAAGAGAGAGCTATATTCATATTTGCTAGCTATATCAACTCCAAAGACAATCACATGGCAGACAGTTGGTCGAGAATAAAAAATATCGAAACTGAGTATAGCCTAGATAAAACATCTTACAAAATAATTACAAGCAGGTTGGGAATGCCAGAAATAGACTTATTTGCTTCAAACATTAACGAAAGTGTAAAAAATTTGTGTCATGGCATCCCGATCCACAAAGCTTAGCAGTGGGTGCATTTTCTATCTGCTGGACAGGATTTAAATCATATATTTCCTCCATTCTTGCTAATGTCCAAACCTTTAAAGAAATTGGAGGATGATGGAGCAGCAGGGATAGTTGTATCTCCGATATGAAAATCGCAGGTCTGGTTTCCAAAATTAGAATCTATGCTAATTTCCTCCATAGTAATTCTTGAACCTCGCCCTAATTTATTGTCATCCCCATCTAGGGGACCGCATCCGCTATGGCAACAGATTACCCTGGGAGCAGCAGTTTTGTTAGGCAGATATACACCAAAAAGGGCATAACAGGAGCTGCCCTAGAGGTTCTACTAGCCTCTCTGAGCACCAACACACTGAAACAATATAAATGTACATTTGGTAAATGTTGGAGCTTTTGTAGTGGAAACATTGAAAATATATATTCACCAGCTAGAGCAAATGTTATCAATTTTTTAGATGAACAATTCAAAAAAGGAGCTAACTACAATACGCTAAACACTCACCGATCAGCATTGAATCTTATATCGGATGTAGGGAAATGCGAATTGATAGAAAGGTTTATGAAAGGAGTGTTCAAAATGAAGCCAACGTTTCCTAAGTACGACGAAATATGGGATCCCCTTCCGGTGTTATCATTTGCAGAAAATCTATCCCCACTACAAAATCTCACTCTGAAAGATCTTACCCTAAAGTTAGTTATACTGTTGGCAATGAGTTCGGCACAAAGAGCCCAGCGTTTATCCAAAATTAGAATAAGTAATATTAGCACCCAGAAACATGAGCTTGTGATACACATACACAAAACTTCTTCCCCTAAAAAAGCTCAACCGAAATTACTTTTTCCATTTTTTATGGAAAGACCAAATCCTTTTACTGCAACAACAATAAATCACTATATACATGCCACATGTGAGCTGAGAGGCAATCACGATCAGCTCATATTGACACATAAAAAACCTCATCACCCCGCTACACCACAGATAATCAGTCGTTGGATCAAAAGTGTATTAAAGCTGAGTGGAATCGACACAAATAAATTTAAGGGCCACAGCACTCGACACGCAGCATCTACAGCAGCATTACAAACTGGGAAACATGTTGAAAACATCAAAAGTGCAGCGGGGTGGTCAGAGAAGTCAGAAGCATTTTCAAAAATTTAGAATAGACCCAAAGGAGGATATTTTGCTAGTTATATAAAAGAAATTTTGCAATAATGATATCGTTAAAATTAGCCAAATAGTCTTAGGATTATACTCATACATATAAATGTAACAGTTACAATGATAGTGCACTACTTGAAAAGTACTAGTAATTACGTATTAGATAATTATATACCCAATATATTTTGGGAAATAGATTTATGATAAATCGATTGTTGGAATTAGATTGGAAAATAAACATGTTTTCGTGGGATTTGATTGGATCGCTAAATTCTCTAAACATCTACATGGTGGTTCTAATTGGATGTGACCAATCGAAGTATAATTATGGATTAAACGACTTACTTTAAGGAAGTTCAATCCAGATTATACGACGTTGGTCACATCCAAATAGAACCAAATCCCCACCCTTTATTAAACAGTTTAAAAAAAAACATTTACATTAGCGATCATATCCAGCTCCGAAGTATAATGACCAGTGCTACGGGACGGGACAGGCTAGGTGGCAGCGATTACGTTTATCTAAACACTGGCGCACTCACAGCGTTAAGGGGTATACTACATGGTGGGTCTATTTGGATGTGACCAATCACGTATAATCTGGATTGAACTTCCTTAAGGTAAGTCGTTTAATCCATAATTACTATGCAAATATTTACAATAACTGTACTCCCTAAAATGCTTTGGGGGTTTTGTTATTGGTTGGTTGAAGCATGTGTAATTTGGCAACATCAAAATATTCATTTTTCATATTGTTTTTGGAGTAGCAAATGACATATTTTGAGTTTTTACATTGCTTATATACAGGGTGACTTTGAAGTTGAGTCATTAATTTTCAGATAATGATTGTAGAAGGAAGATAAACCAAAATATGTGTGTAAAAATAAAAAAATAAATAAAAAAAAATTTTACCTTGTTTAATAAAGTATCGTCCCGACAAGTATTTCAGTGCGGACCTGTATTTGATCGTGTGGTCTTGGAGCAGCATGCCCTGACCTGTGAGGTCTTAAGTCACTTGATTCACGAGCCCTTTGTACTACATTAACAAAGGCACGAGGGGTTGGTTGCACTCGATTGGGAAACCGATTCGCATAAATCCGTGATGCATCCGGGAGCATTTTGTAAATACTGCCCCCCCGTAGATAAGAATCATGTCCACAAGTTCAGCATTTTCGTAAACATGTGCCATTTTTGATTTCGTTTGAGCCACGCAACAAATACACATACAAACACAAACACAAACACTAACGCGACTGACGAAAAACATCGTGATAAACGTTTCAAATTCTTTCGCTTTTTTGTTTCCGATGCGAAGAACAGGTCAGACGGATTATATCCGTTGTCACCAAACACGAACATATTATTATTGAGACAGGGCGGTACTCAAACTTCCAAAGGGCTATAACTTTGTTACTTTAATTTTACCAGAAAAATGGTAAAGGAAAAAAACATTTCTTTTGATCAGATCTACTCACTGTTAAAATAAATGACTCAACTTCGAAGTCACCCTGTATATGAAATCTAGAGAAAAGTTCTAAAGCTCATTTTTTGTTCAGAATGTCCTAAAAAACCGCAAAATACTTTAAACAAAGCGAACAAATCAATTTTTGGAATCGGTTTAATAACAATTTTTGGTGCAATTTTTGGCCTAGTCACATGTAGATTCTTTAATCAGATTATGCAAAAATCGGCATTGGAAGATTTTTCCGAGCAGATGTTCCACTATTGTCTGGACTATTATCCGAGTTCTGTGAATGATTACCAGTGCATTGACGCAAGTGTGAGAAGAGGGGCCACTTGTCAATGTCAAGGCTGGCCTGCAAGTCCACGCAACACAAAAGCCACAAAACACTCTTTCATCTGCTACCTTGACGTTAAACATATGATTTTATTAGTGTGTTTAATGTTGATATTGTCTCCATTGCTACATTGGCAATCCTGGTCGCGCATGCGCTTTAAATGCTGATTTTCTTGAGCTAAGTTACGTTAAGTCTTGCATGAACCCACCATCACATAACAGACCAACTATCTGAGAATATTTTGCAAAAAAACAGATATCCTGTTATTTCTAGGCGCAGCAACAAAAGATATATTAAAATAGAAAAATTTTAAAAAAATACAAGAAAATTAATATCTCAAAAACAGTGAAACTCTTACTATGGTCATTTTTTGGTATGTTGTAGATCTGCCCTTTGCCTATCGTCCCTATTTTGTTGTCGTACTATTTAAGCCACGATCCTCGATGCAATGTAGTCACTATTGATTCGAGAAGACCTTATTTTTGTGTTAGGGAATGCTTACTCAAAAGTTGCGTTACATGGATTGCAAAATAGAGGCCTTGCAAGTTATAGTTTAAGTTTAGACCGACTTGTATAATTTTTAGCTATACTGACAGAGTCTTCGGAGCCTTTCAAATGTTACTGATGATACATGTTTGTCTTGCATCTGTTGTCATTGGCATTCTTTGTTACTATGTGATTTTTATTGAAAGTCTGACTGATAAAGTTAGGCATGCTCTTCATCTTGGAGGATGGATATCAGTCTTGTTTTACATGTGCATGAAAGGACAAACTATAATTGACGAGGTAAGTGTTCGAAAAGAAATATGCAGACTGTTGATATAATAATATTGGTGGGGGACATCTGTTGTAATGTAAACGCAAGTAAATTTAGGCATTTTTCTTAGTGACTGTTTACGATGCACATACAGGGTGTTCGTTTGAAAACTTCCTACCACGAATTTATCAAAAACCACTGATTAAAATAAAAAACGCTGAGACATGGATATGTTGGAAAATACCATCAATCCGCTTATCACTGAAATCATTGAAAACTAAATCGAAGAGAATGTAAACCCTATGCTTTTTTTATTTAACTATCCGCTTCAACCTTATGGTCATTAGCGGTGGAATTGATTATATTTTATAAATAAAGTTAGTGGCTTTCAGAAAATTTACAAGATTTGCTATGCTACATTTTGGACCTAGAATTCCTATCAGAGTGCTTTCTAAGTTGAACGTTATCCTATACACTTCAAGCATTGGGCACTCCACTAGAATGTGCTTCACTGTTAACTGCACGTCACAAATTTCACAAATAGGCACAGGTTCTTGGGCTAGAAGATATCCGTGGGTGGCTCGTGTGTGTCCTAGTCGGAGTCATGTGATGGTGGTTTGCATGCGTCGGTTGCTGGTGATGGTTTGCCATGTTCCAAAGCTCGGTTTCACATCCCGTAGTTTAGATGGCTTGTTTCTCCAGTTATCATTCCAGTTCTCCATTATTTTCTGCTTTAGATGCACCGTGGCGTCACAAGCTGGTACCTCTTCGATGGACAGGATTGAGTTGTTGATAGCTGTCTTTGCTTTCCGATCTGCTAACTCATTACCAGGGATCCCTATATGTGACGGCACCCAAAGGATGATGATATTTTTGTGTGGAGTGTCGCTTATTTCGGTTTTGATTATATTGATTAATGGGTTTTTACAGTATATTGTATCCAGTAGTTTGACAGAATTTAGTGAGTCCGATATGATAATCCAATCGTTGGTTGAGCTTTGTTTAACATACCGAACAGCTTCAAGTATGGCGTATAGTTCACCAGTGAGCACTGTAGCTGACTGCGGCAACTTGCTTTCCACAATTGTTGTTGGAGTTACTATAGCTGCTCCTACATATGTGTCTGATTTGGAGGCATCTGTGTATAAGTATTTCGCTGTAACTGCTGTATTGGTGTCGAATGGATGAAAAGTGTTGGATGATTACTTCGCTCGGAGTGTCTTGCTTGTGAAATTTGATCAGTTTAATGTTGATGTTAGGAGGCTGAATGGTCCAAGGAGAAATAGATGAACTGGTAGTGGCCAGGACCAGAGGCAGTCTGTGTATATGTAAATACAGTTGTACCCTATGGTGAAAGGATATACCATATGACACGTTTCTAGGGTTCGTTCGATTTCTTAATAAAATGTGTCTGTATCCTGGTAATGATGGGTTAGAGGCAATTTTGGTGGCATACTGTAAACTTAAAATTTCTCTTCGTACCTGCAGAGGAGCTTCTTCAGATTCGCAGCATAGGCTGTCTATGGGTGTAGTTCTGTAGGCTCCTAATATCAAGCGAAGTGCAGTGTTATATAGTGTATCCAGTGGTTTCAGTATAGATGGCTTTGCGGAATTGTATGCTACACAACCATAATCTAATTTTGATCTAACTAGAGTTCGGTAGATACTTAGAAGAGTTTTCCCGTCTGCACCCCAATGTCTATTAGATAAGTATCGGAGGATATTTATTCCTTTCTGGCAAGATTGTGTCAGATAGGAGATGTGGCTTCTCCATGAAAGGCACTGATCAAAAATTTCCCCAAGAAATTTGATTTCTTTAAAATATTCAAGAGCAATATTAGCTAAGTGCAGTGGTGGTTTTGTGTGGTTAGGCTTTTTTGAAAATATAATGCACTGCATGTTATGTGGTGAGAATGTAAATCCACTTCTATTAGACCAGTGTTCCAGCTGGTTCAATGTCGATTGAAGTAAATAGGTACTGGTTGTAATGTTCTTGCCTTTAATGTATATAATCATGTCATCAGCATACAGGCGTGCATGTATAGGCTTTTGTATGCTTTCTATAATATCATTAATGGCTATAAGAAAGAGCGTTGGGCTAATGACAGATCCTTGAGGTAGGCCATTTATCTGTTCTCTCTTTTCAGATAGTGTGCCATTGGTTCGAACTTGAAAATTTCTGGTTCTCAGGAAGTTTTGGATAAATGCGAGGATATTTCCGTCATATCCCCAGTTTTGCAATTTACGGATTATGTCAAATTTCCATGCGGTGTCAAATGCTTTGTTAATGTCAAAGCATATTGCGGCACAATGTTGTTGGTCGGCGAATGCTTCGTGTATACATGATTCTAGGTCTATTATATTATCCAATGTTGATCTATTTGATCTGAATCCTGCCTGTTCGCATGCTAGCTGATTATTGTATTCCAAGTTCCACAATAGCCTATGATTAATAATTTTTTCCAATAGCTTACACATTGAGCATGTTAAGGAAATTGGTCGGTAAGATTCAGGTGCCTGAGGCGATTTGTTTGGCTTTTGGATGGGTATGATTATGGCTTGTCTCCATATATCTGGGAATACTTGTTCATTCCATATAATATTGTATATGTCCAAAAGGATATTTTTAGCTGAATGTGTGAGATGTTTTAGGAAGATTGTTGGTATGTCATCTGGTCCTGGTGATGTATCTTTTAAATCAAGAAGAGCTTCTTCCATTTCTTGTTTAGTGATTGGTGTATTTATTGGACTAGAGGTGTCTTTATTTGTAGCAATTACCGTTTCAGAGTGTCTTTTCTGGTTAAGGAATTGCGTGTTGAGATTCTCATCACTGGAGTTTCTAAAATAGGTCCTCGATAGAACATTCGCAATATCATTGCTTTGAGTGTAAATTTGAGACCCTTCTTTCAGTAACTCAATATTTGTGTGTGATTTGGCTCCAGACATGCTCTTTATCTTTTTCCAGACTGTGGATACGTTAGTAGAAGTATTTATACTGGTCACGAATTTTCTCCATGATAACTTTTGTTCCGTTTTTATTATTAACCGTGCTTTAGCTCGCTTATGTTTGAATTCAGACAAGTTTTCAGTTGTTTTATGTCTTAGCATCTTGTTTAGTGCTTGTTTGCTTTCACGTATGCTTGATGAGGTTGAAGTATATTTCAAGCAAGACGGCGCTTCTCCTCACTATGTTGTTCCGATTCAGCAATGGCTAGATGAGTTTCCAGATAAATGGATAGAGCGAAAAGGGGCCTATAGAATGGCCTGCTGGATCTCCTGATTTGACGCCATTAGACTTTTTTCTATGGGGCCATTTGAAATCGATTGTGTTTACTCCCCAACCTGAAAGTTTGGATGAACTTCGTCAACGCATCATCGAAAGTTGCCATGATAGGAGTATCCCATAACATGTTTTTGAAAATGTGCGTCAAGAATTTGAACATCGCCTATATAATTGCTTGGCCAATAACGGGCAACATTTTGAACACTTATTGAAATAAAAAGTGATATTTACGTGTGTTTTTGTTTTCTATCAGAACAAATTAAGATAAATAAAGGTTTTTATAATTTTCTCGAAAACAAACCGACTGATTTAAAAAAGTCAAACGTCGAAAAAGGACTTCGAAAGACTTTTCAAACAAACTATTACTCGATACCCCTTGTCATTTAAAATTTTTAAAGGAATGACCCTGGGGGGTCGAGGGTGAAGCAGTTCTTGTTTAAAAAGTTGTCCCCCTTGACAAATCTTTTGTCGTGTCTCGGCGTTTTTTTTTTTATTTAGTGGTTCTCGATAAATAAGTGGTGGGAAGTTTTCAAATGAACACCCTGTATGCTTAGTCGTAGTGTAAAAGCTGCTACACACAGTGCCGCGCAAAGGAGCCGCCGTGGTGTGCCGGCGGGTTACGCGGCTTGCCGGCGTCACTTCGTTCCTGGCATTCGAGCGGTAGTGTTGTGCGGTTTGTGTGTTTAAACAAATTAAAATGTCGTTTAATTGGGACGACGAAGCTGTGCTGCTCTTAATTGAAAAATTTAATGAAAATGATATATTATGGAATCCCAGAAATGCAGCACTTCACTAGCTTTCTATGTGACTGTCACAACCGGAATGATGCTTGACGGCTTTGCGCGGCTTGTGCCGGCGGCTTGTATTGCCGGCGGCATAGCCGCTCGGCATAAACCCGGCTGCATTGCCGCCGGCACTGTGTGTAGTAGCTTTAATAGAGTATTGGAGAGTTGGAAAAAGTTAGAAAGATTCGCAGAAAAGTTCAGTTATGATTCAGTGTATATATTATGTTTTGTGGTTATTATTGTTTAGAACGAATACTGTTCACTGAGGAAGAGAAGTAGTTTTTTTGTGAAAATAGTGAAATTAAACAGTAAAAACCAGAACAGGGACATTATCTTGATCTTGAAAACTTTTATTACAAGTGCTTTTAGTAAGAATAGTAGACCAGGGGCGACGTGTGTGGAATTTCGCCCCATCTATATATTATATTAAGTTTGGACGAAAGCAAAGATACCAAAATTAATGGTTAATCTAAAATCTGAAACCGATTATACATGGTGGGGCAGATGAACTTGCTAATTGGAATTGGGCGCCCTAAAGTGACGGTTGCTCGACGGAAGTAGGATAGGTAGATTCGAGAGAGTGATACGTAAAGTTTTCGAGCCGCGTGGTGTAGTCACTCTCATGGAGTGGACGAAGGTGGAACACGCATTCGCCGCCGAGGCCTACTTTTCTAATGATCGTTCGATCATAGCCACTCAACGTGCATTCCGTACTCATTTCACCATCGTGCCACGAGGATGAGCTCCTGGCCGGCAATCGATTCTTTCATCGGTAAGCAACTGAAGAAAACAAGTGCGTTGTCAGGAATTATGTTTGCCAGGGGCGAACGAGGGTTTTTAAAAAATAACTTTTATTTCCCACTGATGAATCTAACTACCACTACAATAGTTGATAGCTATGTGATTACCAAACAAAAGGTACAACAGTTTCTATAAAGTCGTATAATAGGAATACACACATAAGCTAGTTCTTAAGAAGCATGGAGGACGTATTAGGTTG